ATTAAAATTTAATTTTATAACTTCAAAAATTTGTAACAAAAGCAGAGATAACAACAGAATTAATCTCAAGCTTTATTTTTTCTCTAGCAGCCTGTGTACAAGGGTGAACTATTTGACGCGGACAGACTGGTTTCCACTGGCGTCAAGAAGTGACAGATGACTGTCTTTTAGAGATTGCAAGAAGCTAGTAATCGGGTTTAAGGGGGCAGTATCACCCAGACTAAGGGAGGGAAACAAAAACGATCACCAAAAAAAAACTATTCAACATACACATGTCAAAATTTTACAGCAGTAGTAACGTTTCGTCTGCTATAATACAGTATATAAATTGTAGAGTATATATATGGCAATAAATTTTCAAAAAATTATTTTATGAGTATTTTATTACATTTTGAATTTGTTCGTAAACAATTTTTCGAAACCATAAGTAAAGTACTTAAAATTTGGTATAAACATTCCTTGCGTTAACAGCTATGGCCGGAACTAAAATAATAGAATTCTATTGACATATACATTTTTTAGAAAATTTCAAAGTTCCATTTTTTTGGTCTGACTTTGAAAAATTCTAAAAATTTTAAAATTGGTCACAATGGATATCTCCTAGTTCCGGCCATAGGCTACCCTGTTATGCATCTCCTAGAGTATTTTCAGCAGGATGGGCCTAAATGTTAGAAAACCGCAGCCTAAAATTACTTAGTAAGCATTTTTTGGTAAAATTATTTATAAAAAGTGTTTGCATCATACGTTAACTTTCCTTTATGTACTGTTTTATAACTCCTTGATATTTACTATTATGGTAAAAAATGTATGTGTGTATGTATAATAGTTTTTTTTTGGCAAATTTTTTTGTCAATTTTCAAATGTCTGGGTGATACTGCCCCCTTAAAGCAAATATTTTTGTCATAGCCTAAGTGGTGTCAACGTCAGAAATTATTATATATATATATATATATATATATATATATATATATATATATATATATATATATATATATATATATATATATATATAATCTTTAAAATGCACTGAAATTAAGAAAATAAAACCAATTTGCATTTTTTAAATAAAAGCGTTGGAGGCTATAGTATATAAGTGATCTTATGGGCAATTAAAGCTTTTATTAGAGAAAGCAAAATTTGATTTATTTCTTATTTTCAGTGCATTTAAAATATTATTATTTTTTAAAAATAATTATACTTCTTTCATTAACTTTTCGTACAGCTTGCTTCATATAACAACTTGTTAAATAAATAATTAAATATTACCTGTTAAACTTTGATAACTGCTTTAGAATAATATTTTTGGGTCAATTCTAGAACGATAAACTTTCTATTAAACTGTTTTTGATTCGAAATATTTTGTTTGTTTTTCTAATTTACGTTTACCTTATTGTATATTTGTAACTAGCTTTATGATTGGTTTTAATTGTGTGAAAGATTAGCAACAGTGTACGGAGTTTCATCGTCATTAGAAAATATGAGTCACTGGTTATAGGACGGATATATTAAGTTACTGGTCAATGGAAGACTATATGAGTCACTCACCATTGGACGGCTATATGAGTCACTGGTTATTGAAATAAACTATATGAGTGGCTGGTCATTGGACGTGCTATATGAGTCACAACTCATTGGACGGGCCAAATGAATCCCTGGTCATTTGATAAGCTATGAATGTCACTGACCACTTTTAATTACTATTATCGTTGTCTTTAAAAAAAAAATCCTAATTTTAGCCTTGAAACCACTTAGAACAAATCAATAAGATAACTTTGATATTTATCTTAATTAATCGTCCATTTATAGCTCGCATCCTGTTTACTGTCGTGTAGGTCGTCCTACGTCACAAAAGTTTTGCTTACCGTCATCTCGGTCGGTCCATGCAATATATAAACTCAAAGTATGTCAGGTATATTTTTTTCTACTGTTGTGCTGTCGTCTAATTCACGAATTGGTAAACACCAATAAATCTTCGACCAGTTTTACATAAAAGGAAACACAAAGAATGTTGCGTTAGTCTGGTTCGCTATTCTGCTGCCATGTTTTTAAATTTCGCTATCTAATATCTCTCTCCAGTCCCTCCCTCCCCCCCCCCTCCCGAATAACTCCGTTTCTTCTGCTCCGCCTAAAAAACTGTTCAATTTTTTTTTTAAAGTAATGTCTTCATTGATGCTTCAAGAAGATTGTGACCCAAACTCTGAAGTTTAAAATCTTGAGTCCTTCCGCCCTGTATAGAAATATTAATCTCTGATCTACCGACCAGGTTAATAGATGACTTCACAATGTTAAATCTTACGATTTTACTCAAAGCAAACTTTTCTCAAAAAAAAAATCAATAATTTTTTTTTCATACCAAGGGAAAAAACTTTGCGAAAATATCGGTTACCAATACAGGATTAAATTAACACAGTTATCTCCCCGTTTAAATTTGTTCTTAAAAGTATGTTTTCCCTCTACCTACAATAGTTTTTTATTATTTCAACATACATAAGTTTCTGTTATCAGCCAGTCTATAATCAAATATTTCCGGTTGTGGCGACGCCCCTTCACCTTGCCACAGATCTCGGTGACGGTATCCTGATAAAAACGTGTGCTATATTAGTGTCGCAGCTTAGATGCGAGGGGCGGGGGAGGGGAGAGAGCACAAAAGCTACAGAAAAAGCCACACGCGATTAGCTTTTTCTTTTATCTCACTGATTAAATTATAAACAGTCGATGTTAAGAAATTACTCACCCACGTCTTTACACGTTTATTACACTTTAAAATAATTCGGTTGTACCTTAGTACAATTTTTAAAAACGCCTACACAACTTTGTAATATTTAACAACAAGCTTTTATGTTATAATGTACTAAAAATTTGAAAATAAATGTGTTTTTTAAATTATATATATATATATATATATATAATTCTCTTCATGGGGACCATGCGAGACACCACCACGTAAAGGCACGCCGTTACTTCCCCCCCCCCCCCCCCCGCTATCTAGGCATATAGCTACCACCCCCACCATTCTGGTGAGCTAAGGTTCACCCCAAATGTTTTCAATCGTAGAGCCGGGTAGAATTAGTAACAGCTATTAGGGGGGCAGATAATTTAGATTTTAAACGATTTGAAACTAAGGAGAGATAAGAAGTTCTGCTTGATCTTTTCATTGTCGTCTGCAAACTGTCATCACGGACTCCTGCTTTCACGGTGGCGGGGGGTGGGGGGGAGGAATTGAAGGGAGGGTAGTGTCAAATTCACTTACTATGAAGTACTGAAAAGTAAAAAATAAAACAACTAAATAGCGGCGGGTCAGCTCGTATACAATATTACACTACTATTTAATTAACTTTAACAATGTAAAACAAAAACATAATGTTAACGTATCTACTGTCAATTCGTTAACTGTCAAATATATAACATACTCTATTCGATATTATCAAAAAAAAATAAAAAAAAATGATATTTCTCTTAAAATCTGACATAATTGTTCGCCTAGGGTAGCTGTTGCTACGCATGTGTGCTCGCTACCCAAAGTCGCTTAACAATAATATAAGATACTTTCCATACTTTTAGTAGCGAGATTTTTTCTTTAAAAACCCACTTTAACGATTTAATCTTTTGTAACGTTCACAACAGATTGGACTTTATCACCTGAAACTTACCCAAGATAACTCTAATGGTCACTTATCAGTTGCGACGTGTGTGTTGGTGTTGGATGTTTTAACGTACCGGGGAGACGCCCCCTTTTCAACCAACACTCGCAAAACGTTGATTAAATGTGCATTTAAACACAGTCACAACTAAAACATGTATCATTTAGTGTATTTCTTTTTAAATTTCGAACTACCTTTGAATATTATTGCGGGGATCATTTAACCCCCCCCCCCCATAGACCTATAAGCAAGAGACCATGAGCAAAAACATTTTATTTTAAATCTCATCGAATCCGAGAAGTTTTAATTTCTATAGCACCAAAAATTTTAAATTTAGATCAGTTAGGTCTATTTTATAAAGACATGATCATCTATTTTAAACAAGAAGTTTAATAATCCTAACAAAAGTTTATTGCATCCTAATTACCCCATAACACACCCATCCTTTACTACCATTTATCTTGATCTAGATCCCTTAGATAACACACACCTTTATTATATGTGCGTGTAGGCCTACGTCTACAACACGTGTAGCAGATATTTAGCCATTATCTAATCTTTAAGCAAGGGCAAGTAAATGTGTCAAATAATTATTGCATTCGTTTTCTTGCACTCATTTTCTTCCTGTAATTTAAAACGGACCCTTCCAACACAATTACAATGATGAAAATATGCATACAGCTCACACTTTAATGTTTCTCTACTCCAATATCACATACTTCAATCAGAATCTACATCCCATACATACACACAAACACACACACACACACATACAGACTATTTCGAGGATGAAACATAATGTGTACATTATAACTAAAATCAGGCAGCGGCGTCGCTAAGACTAAACCCCGTAGCCGCTGTCCATATATATATATATATATATATATATATATATATATATATATATATATATATATATATATATATATATATATATATAATATATATATATATATAATATATATATATATATATATAATATATATTATATATATATATATATATATATATATATATATATATATATATATATATATATATATATATATATATATATAAAGGGGGGCATCTTCCAATTGAGTTGGCCCCGGGCATCTACATAGGTCTGCACGCCACTGATTTTTTCTATTAACACTGGGTGTAACAAATTATTAGATGATCAATAGTATACTTTGGTGTTATTTCAAAATCGCATGTAAAATGGTATGAACATCGTAGATGTCTATTATTAAACTATTACCCTGATCCACATGATTGTTTTAATTCTTGTGCCTCTTTAAAATAAAAAATTATACCTAAATCAAAGTTTTATCAGCCCGTCGGATAAGATAATTGAACTGGTATGTGTTGGCTCGCTGGGAAGTTAGGGGCCAAAGAAGAAATTACGTAGGTGACGGGATCTGCCCATCAACACATCTTGTCCACCGTTCGAGGGGAAAGTCACAAAAATGTTTCCCGCTGTAATTTTAGTAATTTTCGGTAAGTTTTTATAAGTGTAACAATGGGATAGGCAAGGTTTTACAACTGTAATAATTGGTCAAGCAAGGTTTTACTATTGTATCTATTGGATTAAAAACAACTTAAGGAATGTGTAATGTTGTTTTAATGATTCTACTTTTGAAAAATGAGGATGCCGTATAATTTTTTTTCAAAAATAATATTGTTATTATTTCATGAAAAAAAAGGTTATTGAGCTTCAATGTGATATCAATTGCAAAGGTTATTAAAACTTAAATTTAAAATATAAACCTTCCTTTAGCCATTGCTGGCAGCTCGCTGGCCCAATCCAATCCGCCCAATCCCACAACTGACTGCGGTAGGGCCGCTCAAACATGTTACTTCGCTTCTAAGGATTTGGTCAGGAAGAAGCTCGATGAATTTGATTTCCTTGGAGGATGCAAGTAAGTATTTGTTTTCTTTTCCTAGCTTTGTGCTTAGTGTTGTATGTCTTCTTGCCCAGTGTTAAAAGTCTTTTGTCTCAGTGTTGAAAATCTTCTAGCCCAGTTTTGAAAGTCTTCTATCCCAGTGTTGAAAGTCTTTTTTCCCAGTGTTGAAAGTCTTCTTTCCCAGTGTTGCAAGTATTCTAGCCCAGTGTTTCTTCATGCCCAGTGTTGAAAATCTTCTTGCTCAATGCTAGTCTGGGATTGCTCGCCCAGGACTAAGTCTTCTTACCGCCGTATGCTGTAAAAAAATGCATGTTCTCTATTTTCTTCAAAATGCATTATATTTATGTTAATCGCATATTCTCTCGCCTCGCTTGACATGTAATCTAATTTCTGACTTGACCTTTGCTCTTTAAATTGGCCTCTAGTTTAGTGCTTAATCTGTACTCTCTAATTTGGCCTTGTTTGGGGCTTGGTCTGTACTCGATAATTTGGCATTTAGCATGAGGCTTGACCAGTACTCTCTAATTTAGCCTTGTTTGGGGCTTGACCTGTACTTTTTGACTTATTATACGATCACATTTCTGACTGATCTTTTATCTCTATTCCAGAGCCTACAGAACAATGACGGACTGTTTCAATAGAATACCAAATGCCGATGCGTGTAACGAGCTCCAGCCCTTCAAAGCTCTCGTCACACCCATAGTAGACGGAGTCTGTGGTAAGATTAAAGGGAATTGTTATATAGTTCCGAAAGTTTGTCTCCCCTTCTAAACTGTGATAAGACTGAAGAGAGAGGTATAAAGTTCATAAAGTTTGTCCCTAACCTAAATCTACTATTTACAATTTAAACAACAGCACGTTAAGTTTGTGCATAGAAATACAATTGTTGAAATGTTTTCTATGTTATCACATTATTCGTTAGTGTGATGAATCTCCTGCAGTTCTAACAACCTTAATAAAAAAAAACACACCCGACCCCGCATCAAAAGTTTACCTGCCACATTCACCTGCCACATTCACCTGCCACATTCATCTGCCACATTCACCTGACACATTCACCTGCCATATTCACTTGCCACATACACCTGCCATATTCACCTGCCACATTTACCTGCCACATTCACCTGCCACATTCACCTGCCACATTCATGTGCCACATTTACCTGCCACATTTACCTGCCACATTTACCTGCCACATTCACCTGCCAGATTCACCTGCCACATTCATCTGCCACATTCACCTGCCATATTCACCTGCCACATTCACCTGCCATATTCACCTGCGGCATTTATCTGCCACATTCACCTGCCACATTCACCTGCCACATTCACCTGCCACATTCACCTGCCACATTCACCTGCCATATTCACCTGCCATATTCACCTGCCATATTCACCTGCCATATTCACCTGCCACATTCACCTGCCACATTCATGTGCCACATTTACCTGCCACATTTACCTGCCACATTTACCTGCCACATTCACCTGCCACATTCACCTGCCACATTCATCTGCCTCATCACTGACACATTCACCTGCCATATTCACTTGCCACATACACCTGCCATATTCACCTGCCATATTCACCTGCCACATTCACCTGCCACATTCACCTGCCATATTCACCTGCCATATTCACCTGCCACATTCACCTGCCACATTCACCTGCCACATTCATCTGCCACGCGTACCTTCCACAATGATCTAAAAATAAATATAACTATAAACCTGCTTGGATCAACCATCCATGTAGTCAATCACTCAACTTAAATGCTGGAACTTTTCTGATGTTCTAATTTTAACTCAATTACATGCACGTGCCACTAGCTTATCTGGCATAAGACAACCCTCTTTCTGTATTCCAGGAGGACCTGGCCAGAATTTAGTCACCCCTTGTGCCACTCAGTTCGGCACCTGTATGACTAGCCTCTACACCATTGAGGGCGACATCAGGAACAACCAAGGCACAAAGGCCTGCCCGTAAGTCGATGCTAGCTTAGCGTTCTGAAATATACATTAAACACAGCTACTTGCAATTTCCTATAATAACTGAATAGTGGTGGACGTATTGAAAGGCATAATAGACTAGCAAGTACTAACGACGTGGATAGTCAATGAAAACATTGCAGAAATCAATGTTGAATTAGATCTTTTTACGGCTGTTGTTGCATCAAGATTGTAAATTGTGGCCAGTTTTTAAGGGGAAAACAACTGACCAGAATTTTACAACTTATTTTCCATTGAGCATTGCCAACTTCGAAAAATTTTGAGGTATATTTTGTGTGAATACTGTTTCAAAACAGTTGATGTCGCTGGCTTCAAACCCAGTTTTACCCTCGTAATTCGTCACATTGTACGGCATATGAAAATATGTATCAATTCATAATAGATATTTAAACTTCGTCTTTCTGGAAATATTTAATTACTAACTATAATTTTTTTTTCTAATAATTTTATCAATGTTATTTCATGTGAAATCAACAATCCTTTACAAAATGTATGATATAAAATGTTTACTATTCAGCGCCTTGACACAATTCACCCAGTGCAACCAACAGCTGGCTGCTGCTAACATTTGCTCCCCACCTGTTCTCTCCATGATCCAAGATGTCATCTCCGCCTTTGACCAGGATGACTTGCTAGATGGATGCCGTAAGGAAACATTTTTTACATGGTTCACTCGGCTAAACACATTTTCACAATTTTAACAGCTGTCTTGGTTTGTTGTGAATGTCAGTCACGACGAAGAATGGGTGTTGATCCCTTTGAAAATCAGACACAACAAAATTTGAGTGTTGATCATTTTGCCTGTAATTCAGTCAGTACAAAGATTGAGTGCTAATCTTGTTTCTTGTCAGTCAGTCACAAAAAAAGATTTGGTATTGATCACATTGTTCTCAACACAAAGTGCTTATATACTTTAACTTTTGTGGAGACAACAAAAAAATCGAATCATATCCACTGTACGATTGCTTGAATTTTTTAGCAATATCGCGTTGAATGAAACAAGTCCCACTCATTTTATTAATTTTGGAAGAACGATGAAAGGTCTCGTCTTTGTCTTTAGAAAAATAAAACCAGCTTGCTTCTTAAAGGAAAAACCAAAACAAGGTCTCGTTTTGAAATAAGACAACTAGAGCTTGTTCGCGTCATACTGTTAAGTGATAGGGTTGTAAAATGATATTACTTAGTGGTATAGGGAACCTAGGGTTGCCTTGTGTTGAGATTGTGGAGGCAATGTTAAAAATATAGTGTCGTATTTTGTTATGTTTTAGAGGGAGAATGTGCTAAACTTCTCGGTACTTGCACCTCACAACTGGTCAATGACATCACAATAGCCTCCAAAACCCAGAAAGACTTTGTAACAGCCTGCGGGTAAGTTAGTTAATTCTTATCACTACACCCTACACACACAACACACCTAATACAATCACAATACTTACTACACCCACTACACCTAAAACAGACATATAGGTTAAGTTACCGCACCTTGTAAAAACACTTATCACACCTACAAAGGCGTAGCCTAGCGGTAGAATGCTAGAATGCTAACCCAAAAGTCTCGAGTTTGAATCCGGGTTCTTGTCACTAGAACTCAACCGAGTCTACTCAGCTGTGATGGGTACTTAACTCTCGGGAAAGTAAACGCCGCTGGGCAAAGCGCTGATCACACTATCCATTTATATGCCGAGGTCACCGAAGCAAGTGAACTCTACTTCAATTGCCCCTACTACACTAGAGAAGCATTGATAGCTTCTCTGGCATCAGTAACAGACACTAAAACTATATTCACTTACTCACATATGACACCCAGTTTCAGAAATCATATTTAAACAAGTTATCAAGTCTTTTATGCAGCTTCACCCCATTGGCGTCAACATATTTGTTTACAACTGCACATACTTATGTTATCGTAATTTGTACTTGGAACCCACCGACTCTATTTAAGAAACTATGTAGAAGTCAATTACCTTGACATTGAACTGTAAAACTTAGACTTAATGGAATGTGTCTGTCTTATTCTGGCTTAACCCATTTTATATACACTTGATATTTGGTATTAATGCTAGGTCGGTTATAGAATTTTAAAATATATATATATATAAAAATAGAATTACCCATCTGGCGTTTGTAAGCCTTGAGCTGACTCCACCAATTCTATAGTTACTGATTATTTAATAAACGAATGAAAAATGTCAATGTGGGTTAATAAAGAGAAAAAACTATTCCAGACAAGCAGCACAGTCTCTCGCGTGTGTGGACGAGAAAGCCAAAGCTCTACCCTGCACCACCGGGAACGGCTCGACTGTTACAGCAGAAATGGTCAACAGCATCAAGGCCTATGTCAACCACTACTGTAGTAAGTTAAAGGGCTTTTTTACAGATATATATTTTTTTTATTGTAGTGCGATTTTATTCTTTTCTTCAAAAATACTTTTTTAGAAGCTGCTTTTAGCTTCAACTTACATTTTTATGTTTGTTCTGTTTAACATTTTCTTTTAAATATACGAATTCATACTGAAATTATGTACTTCATCACACCAGCGGTCGTAAGACCCGCAGCGTTCCGTACTCCAACATCCCCCCTAACCCGACAACTAAGATACCTACATTCGTTTTAAAGAGCGCCCAACACAGGGATACGGTGGGCTATATAATCAATGAAAAAAACCAAACCACATGCTACGCCTCTGATGTATGTAGCTGGTGACTACCCTGAGCGCCATGCGACGACATTGGCAAATGGGTGGAGGGTGATCAATGTACACTCAAGTTTTTCATACAGCCTAACCTGGGCTGTCTGGTGGATGTGGATCGAAGAAATATAGTAGCGACGTTATTTATTTTTAAATAACTCGAGTTCTAACCTACCGAAAGTTATCAACTATGTATCTACGAATAACTGATAGCACAAACTAATACCCCGTGTAGATACCTCAACGGTGCCTTACACAGAAGTTGGGGTTTAAAGCCTGTTTAAGTATTTACCTGAAAATGGTAATCATGCCTGTGGACCAGTTGTGCAGCGTAGGTACACAACCACGCCTCGCCATCACACTCGGCTTTAGGTTGTTCCTCAAAGCGAGTCCCACGACATTCCGACTGCTTCTGCTTCACTAACAACTGAACATACAAGTTTGTTTGGCATAGTTACTTTCCTCTTACATTCGAGGAAGAAGTTCAGCTAATCAATTAATTTTAGTTTAACTCGTATCTCTTCACTAATTTCTTTTTTTATGGCAGCACCGCGAGACGGCACAACTAGTTTATAACAAATACTTCATCCTCAGGTCCAAAGAGCAGTGATTGTATTACGGAGTTGAACGACTGCAAGGCTGATCTAGTAACGCTGGGACCTAACACAGACGTCGCTACACAGTGCAAGTAAGAAAAGCAGGTGTTAGTGTCTACACTGTGTTAAGAAAATGTTCGTAGTTCAACATCGGGCATATTATGTGTATTAGATTTTGCACGTCTAATGTCAAGTAACTTTGTTTTTGTCTGTCTGATGTCATTTGTTTAACATCGTATCTCAGTCATGCGTATGACAGTTGCACCTTGTTACATATTGTCGATCACATTTTTGTGATGTAACCACTTGTTTGTTACAGCGTGTCGGCCAAATTTCTGGAGTGTACAGCTGGTCTGGCCTGCAGGGACTCGGTCAAGGCCATGATCGACAAGTTGAGGACGGACCTGGAGACGGAAGAAACGAAAGCCAACTGTCGTAAGTGTTCTCATTCTTGATATGCTACACGCTGGCTGGAATTTGGTCAGATTATTCCGACATTTCAATTCGTACTATATATATATATATATATATATATATATATATATATATATATATATATATATATATATATATATATATATATATATAAACCTAACAAAGCAGGACGATATATAGCAATTTATCTAATAGTTTCTAAAATTTCTTCTCTACAGCCACCGTGGGGTCATGTGCTGATCGTATCATGGTGTGTGTCAACAATCTGGAAGCTCTCAAGTCCATGAACACAAACACTGACAAAGCTACATTTTGCGGGTTGGTACCTTTACACTGTTTCTAGTAAAACGTTATTGTAATTAAATGCACATTTACGTATATATATATATATATATATATATATATATATATATATATATATATATATATATATATATATATATAAATCATTTTGTCCTTGAAGGAAGGTGAACACTGCCGTGAAGTGCTTTGACTTTGTCAGGAGAGATCCCCTTTGCTCTAAAGAAAATGTCCTGGTCAGTGACACTGAGACACAACTTGGTGTGGACATTGCTCCTGCTTGTGGAGGTAATCGGGTTATCTTCTCCTAGTGCACCATCAATGTTTAACTTTTATAACCACTAGTGCAGCATCAATGTATAACTTCATTGGCTGCTAGTGCATCATAAATGTTTAACTTGATTGGCTACATCAGTTGATTTCAATTACACACCATTCACTGTCTTCAGTAAACTCGTTGATAAATGAATGAACGAAATCTTTCTCCAGCTGCTATCGGAACCTGCAACGACCGCATGAGAGTGTGTGCCGCCACAGAAACTTTCGTCAACTCTATCAGCAAGGACATGCAACAGGCAGAGTTCTGCAGGTCAGTGATCTCTGTCCCAATTTTTACTTCATAGAACACGAAGTATAGAGGATGTATTGTAATCGTTCGAAAAACGAAATCGATATTTTCAAACGCCTATAACTTGATTAGGCTAACTGTTTCTGATAGATAGACGAAATGTTATATACATATATGTAAAAGATGTAAACCTTTGTTTACTGTCGAATTATGAGTCATTTCCGGTGACCGTATGTAGTATTTTATCCTATTTATAATTCCTCAACAAAAAAATGCGTAGGAATTTAGTTTTCACTTCATTCCTCTGTGTATCGTCCGTAACAGACGGAAAATTGCGAACAAAATTTCGAATAATTTTATTTGACCGAGTTTTTTTAAACTTTTCACGTAGATCAAAACTCGAATTTAATGTATTGTCATATACTATGCTACTTAATTAGATGATTAATTAACTATTTAAAAATCAGTTTTTTTCTTTATAAAATACTAATGTTTCGCATTATTATACACACATTATTTGCTATTCATTTGGTGCTCAATATTTTTTTATATGAGATTCTGTTCTATTTTTAAAAGTTTAAGTAATTATTTAAAATGGTTTAAAAATAATGTCTATATCCCGAGTTGCCATCCGCCGTAGAGTTGTATAAGAATATTCGAGAAAGTTTAGGGGAGATAGCTCCATTTTTTTTTCTTAGCCCTTGTCTAACAAAACAAAACTCAAATCTTGTCCATACTTTTATGTATATTAATTAAACTATTACATCTTAATTTGACATCTTAAATTACATACACATTATACATCTCCGCATTACACAGCGCCACATTACACATCTGAACATTTCACAAATCAACATTACATACATACACATTAGATACAATTCCACATAATAACCATAACATTACATCAACTTTACACACCTTCACATAAGACACCACCAAATTACACCGTCAACTAAACCTTACAAGTGAACTTGTTTTGCCCCAGACGTGCCAGAGTTGGCATCACCTGTTTTGACGGTCTGAGACAAGATTCCACCTGCAGAACAACCAGCAGTGCCGCCTCTGGGTATGAGGACAAGCTGAACAAAATCATCAAGCCTGTGTGTGGTGGGGGATGTAAGTCACATTATCGTTCTATTTTGTGGGGGATGTAAGTCATTCTCTGTTGTGGGGGATGTAAATCCGCCTATGTGTTGGGAGAATTAAATCACTTTGTTGGAACCGGGGGTGTAAGTCACATATACACATAGACCCTCTTTGTAATCGGTCATGCAAAAGCATTTCGATTCTGTGTTGGGATCAAACCAACACATTGTCAGTGCACTAATACATTAAACACTGATTGACACGGACAGTGTTATAAAAGTTGACACAAACACTGAAATACACAACGAACAGAATTTAGACGACTGCGCACCTTAAGCTCCAAGCCCGTCATAAATGCCTCGTTCATTGTAGCCAAAAAATATGTGGTCTGTTAAATCAGGTGGTTTTGACTTTCTTAATAGACTGAAGTCAGGATTTGACATTTGTTAAAATGTGAATTATGCAGTAATGCCACTTGACCTTAACACAATTGTCTTTTCCTCTGGCTCGTCTTTAAAAAATGTCCTTGTCTTTCACGATGTTTTTTGTCAAGTCCTTTTAAGTTTTGCGCTTCCATAAATAGAATATTTTCTGACAATAGTTGTTGTGTGTGGTTTAATAAAAATTTAACACTATTTTTTTTTCTTCAGCTTCTGCATCTCAAATCCAAGTGTCCATGTTTTTCCTGGTCGCGATCTTCATCAGGACATTTTCATATTTCTTGTAATAAAACAAAATGTAAATTTTGTTCAATGTTTTAAATACATTTTTTTTTAAGTTCAACATTAAATGTAGTCACACCTCGGGGAATAATTTTTGTTTGAATAATTGTGTTGTGTTTGTCCTTTCACTCCAGAGCAACTTTGTAATTTTAGATGATGAATTTTGTCTAATTACAGTAAAAAAATACTCTTTGTAAATAAATACAAAATACCAAATCTCAAAGAGAACTGTGTTTTCGTGAAGTGACGGAAACGTTTAAATTTTGTAAGAAATTGCTTATTGTCGATGTATGAATATGTTTTATTTCTGAGCACTTTTAGCAATGTATGAAAGGCATGAAATGCAGCTGTTCACGGCTTCAGACCGGCTGTGTTCAACAGCTGCCTACCTGGATGAGATGTCTGAAATAAATTTAATGTACGAATGATTTTATAAACATACGCATGCACGCAGATTTTTTGAAAAATTCATATTAAAAGTATGTATAATATAATTCAAGGGATAATTTCTTTTTATTACGTATATTTCCGTATGCATTTTGTTGTTGTAAAACTGGTCAAACGTTTTTATTATCAGTCATTTTACAGTTCGTGCCCTAGGCACTAGTGAAGTAAGGGTTAGGGTTAGCTCATCCGTTTCGATGACCTCGGCATAGAGAGAGATAGTATGGTTAGCCCAGTGGCTTTTGTTTCTTTATTGTTAATGAAGTATCTATATGAGCTGGGTAGACCCAGGGAAGTCCTTATGACTTGAGCCCGGGATCAGTACTCAAGATTTTCGCGTTAGTCTTGAGGGACGGTGGAGAATGGAGGAAGGTTTTGGCTAAGGGGTTGTCCATAAATGATGTCACAATAGTATGGGGAAGAGGAGGTCTGTAGTTTCTGACGGGTAATTCAAATAGTGTGACGTCACTTTTTCTTTTTTTTTTTAACAAGTAATGCTCAAAACTGAAGTTTAACCTTCACTTTTTTTGAAAATTGCAATAAATGTATAAAGCTTAATATACTTTATATTAACTATTCAGAAAGAAAACGATGTTTAAAAAAATTAAATGCAATTTTGAGGGGATAGTAGGCTCCGTCGTGACGTCATTTTATTCGGTGGTGGCTGGCTTTTTGTAACGATGTGTGATGTAGGAGAGGGGGGTAAAAATCATCAAATAAGTATGACATCATTTACAGATGACCCCTAAGATGTTTTAGAAAGTGTGTGTGGTGGTGGTTAACGTGTGATTGGGAGTTTAGACCATTTATTGTCTTAAAGCTAACAAGATGTCTATGTGAGTGGTCAAGATATCAAGCGGCGCTTAAACTACTTTCACATTCTAATAAATTATTCAGTTGTTGACAGCGGTTTAAACACATAAAAATAGAAAATATACAACCAGAAAGCAAAGAGTGTTGCTACAAGAAAAGCGACTGCAGTAACGTTAGAACACAAATACTCAGAACATTCACTGGTGTAAACAAACCTTCAAGTAATGAAAACGCTAATCAAATCTGTGGCGTCCGTCGGTTTCCCGGAGGAGTGATGACCCCAGGTAGTGTGCGATTTGACGCCCAGAGTATGTTGATTGGGCGTCCTACACAGAGGGTCTTGTACTACTTGATTCAATCGTCAAACAGCACTAGGTGCACACCGGTGTCCAGTTGGTCGGGTGACTGTGTGCGCTCAGGGCTCCCATATGATTACAATTGGCGGCTACGTTCGTTGTAACGAGTGCCATACAAAAGGGACATGATGGGCCACTACAACCGATGACTTTATTGAACCAGTGGTCGCACCCGGCATACGGTGGCTTCCGAGCGAGCCCAACTACGCCCGAGAAAACTATTACGGTGGATTCTTAATACGGGGCTTTCATACAGCAAGCATTGGGGCGTCTGTGCTGTAGTGTGGACAAACATAGCCACAAAAACAACGTTTCAAGAAATATAGCGCCAGAATTTGTAACGTATTCATGAAATCCTCTTAAAACGTTGTGTTCGCTTTTCTTCAAGCCCATACCTAAAGTAATACATTTTTTACATAATATATTGTTACATTCGAACTGCTTATAAAAATGTATGCTCATCATAGATATTTATTATCAAAAGAATAAGTTAAACACTGAATTGAAGTTTTATCAGCTGATTTGATAAGATATTTATCTGGCTTGTGTTGGCTCGCTGGGAAGTTAGGGACCAAAGAAGAAATTACGTAGGTGACGGGATCTGCCCCTCAACACATTTTGTACACAGTTCGAGGGGAAAGTCACAAAAATGGTTCCCGCTGTAGTTTTAGTAATTTTCGGTAAGTTTTTTACATGTAACAATGTGATAGCCAACAATTAAAGGAATGTGTAATCTTTTTGTGTTAATTATTCTACTTTTTTTTTAAAAATGAGGATGCCATGTACATTTATTCTTTTAATTAATCAAAATCGTTAAATATCTAATTTCCTCCTTTTTTCTTTTGTTATTGAGCTTAAAAGTGATTTCAATAACAATGTTTATTGAAAATGTTTTTTTAACAATGTTTATTAACCTGAAATATAAACAATTCTTTAGCCATTGCTGGCTGCTCGCTGGCCCAATCCAATCCACCCAATCCCACAACTGATTGCGGTAGGGCCGCTCAAACATGTTACTTCGCTTCTAAGGATTTGGTCAGGAAGAAGCTCGATGAATATGATTTCCTTGGAGGATGCAAGTAAGTATTTGTGCCCAATGCTGCTTTCCATGTTGTTGTAAGTCTTCTTGCCTAAGGCTGTAACTGATCGTACCCGGAACTGTAAGTTTTCTATTCCAGTGGTGTAAGTCTTCTAGTTTAGCATTGGTTGCCTTCTTGCCAGATCCAAGCTTTCCCCATTGCTGTAAGTGTTCTTGTCTAGGGTTGTACGTCTTTATATCCATTGCTGTAAGTGTTCTTGTCTAGGGTTGTACGTCTTTATGTCCATTGCTGTAAGTGTTCTTGTCTAGGGTTGTACGTCTTTATATCCATTGTTGTAAGTGTTCTTGTTTAGGGTTGTACGTCTTTATGTCCATTGCTGTAAGTGTTCTTGTCCAGGGTTGTACGTCTTTATGTCCATTGCTGTAAGTGTTCTTGTCTAGGGTTGTACGTCTCTATGTCCATTGCTGTAAGTGTTCTTGTCCAGGGTTGTACGTCTTTATGTCCATTTCTGAAAGTCTTCAAGCCTAGGGCTGTAAGTCTTTATGTCCATTGCTTTGTCTTATTGGCCAAGACTCTAATAGTTTAGGTCTGCTGGCCTTCTTGCCCAGGAGTCTTCTTCCTTAGGATAATTCATCTTCTTTTTCAATTTCTGTACATCTTCTAGATGTAAGTTCTATTTCAGGATTCGTTGCCTTCTTGCAAGACCCAAGACTTCCCTATGGCTATAAGTTTTTGTCCATAGCTGAAAGTCTTGACCAACACTCTTATAGTTAAGGACTACTGGTCTTCATACTAGGACTGTAGTCTTCTTCCCTTAGAGAATTCGCTTCTCGCTAAATTTCTTCTAGCTGAGGAATGTAAGTTGACTTGCTGCAGGCTGTAAAAAAGCATGTTATTTATTTTCTTCAAAATGTATTATATTTAAATTACTTGCATAACCTTATTCACGCTATCTGCAATCTAGTTTTTAACTTAACCTGTACTCTTTTTCTTGGCCTTTAGTTTCTGACCTACCTAAACTCTTTAATTTGGCCTTCAGTTTCTGACTTACCTAAACTATCTCATTTCTCCTTGTTTTGGGCTTGACCTGTACTATTTGACTTATCAAACATTCAGATGTCTGACTGAGATGTCATCTCTATTCCAGAGCCTACAGAACAATGACGGACTGTTTCAACAACATACCAAATGGCGATCAATGTAGCGAGCTCCAATCTTTCAAAACTTTCGTCAAAACTACGGTAGACGGAGTCTGTGGTAAGATTAAAGGGACTTGTATATAGATTCTAAAGTTTGTCTCCCATTATAAACTGTGGTGAGATTAAAGGGACTGGAATAAAGTTTTTAAAGTCCCCCCCCCCCTTCTAAACTGTTGTAAGCATAAGGCGACACCTATTTCTGTATTACAGGAGAACCTGGCCAGAATTTAGTCACCCCTTGTGCCAGTCAGTTCGGCACCTGTATGACTAGCCTCTACACCATTGAGGGCGACATCAGGAACAACCAAGGCACAAAGGCCTGCCCGTAAGTCGATGCTAAGTGCCAGGAAGTATAGATCTACAGTAGAAAAACTACGTGAAATTTCCTATAATAATAGTATAGTATTGAATGGCATAATGGTCAGTCAATACTATCAATGTGGATATTAAATGACAATATTGTCTAAATCAATGTTGATATGGCTGTTGATTTAGTTATCACTAATTAGTAATATATTATTCGGCTTTAAAAAATGAGCTTAACTTTTAATTTTGTGTGTACTTTAGAACTATTGAGGACGCAGGCTCCAAACCTAGATTTACCCTCGTAATTTGTCACATTGTACGGCATGTGAAAAGATTGATTATTTTGTATTAGATATTTAAACTTTATCTTTCTATCACAGATTTCATTTCTAAAAAAATACGTTTTTCATATCAAATTCAAATTTTTTTGTATTTTAAAACAATTTTGTTTGTTACATCAACAATCCATTACAAAATGTATGAAATAATTTTTTTACCTTTCAGTGCTTTGATACAGTTCACACAATGCAATCAAGATCTGGCTGCTGCTAACATTTGCTCCGCCTCTGTTACCGGGATGATCCAGGATGTCATCTCCTCCTTTGACGAGGATAGCCTGCTCGATGGATGCAGTAAGTACTCATCCATTTATGACATCCACATAGAGAGGGGTGGGGTCAAAGGACTTTCATTTTAAAAATGTTAAAAAACTGGTATCATGCGTTTAAAATTAAGGCTTTAGTGCTAGCGATTTAAAAATAAAACTGCAGGTGATTTTTTTTTAAAATTTAACCCGTGATTTTAAAAACCAGCTCAACATGTAAATAAATCGTGGTACTCGTACCTACACTGGTGTTTTCCATAACATAAACGATGCCAAGATTTTTAACGATATGTCTTATAAGATATTCATCTAATTTTCCTTTTTATGCCAAAAAACCAATGGGCCGCCTCAGAAAGCTCCCTCCACTTTTCTCGGTCATCGGCAATTTTCTTGGCACTCCACCATGATAGTCCTGCCTCTGCCAGCTACTTCCCTGCTGTACGCCACCTCGTCACCTTTGGTATTTCCTGTATTCTTTTTCCTTGAGACCTCCAGTTTAGAGATGTCATCTGGATTCATTTTAGGATGTGCCCCACCCATCGCCGTCTTTTTCCCCCGATTATTTCGGAAACTGCTTCCTTTTCAAACTCTCCTACTAGTAGTCTATTATTGGAGATTGAATTGTTTTATATTATTTCATAGAACTTATACATAATCAATGAACTCACAATATAAGGTAATATATTCTCCAAAAGTGAGCGTTCAGTATATTTTTCTTGTTATCTCCCCTTTTATAA